TTTGAAACCAGAGACTATTTTTGACTGGTTTGATGCACCAATGGTTACCCCAAGAAAAACAATGCAGACTGCTACCCTTTCAAAACAACTCCTGTCTCAAAATTTTCATAGTTCCAGCAAATGTTACTTTTTAAACTTTCTGTGTTTGTGTATTGAAAGAAGTAGTGTGATGCTTATTTGCTAATACATATAGCAGGAGTAGCTAGCAGCTGCAACGGAACACTTGGTTGGAAAAAGTAGAATTGCTTTTGCATGTACAAACTTTGTTCTCACTTAGGGTTATTTTTAATGTTTTTTATTCTAGAAATCTTCACACTACAGCTAAATATGTCACTTTTAGGAAGAAAAGTTATGAAATAACAGGTGTATGTTCTGTACATATTGTCCAGGGGTGATAATAAGCAAGAAACTCCAGCAGGAAAAGTAAAGCCTTGAACCGCATGTGAATGTGAAGCTGGTAGAGCCAAACTACTCATTCTCTCTAATGACAAACTGTAAACATGTTTGAAAGATGTGGAGCAAGGAGTGATTTTAGGGAAGGGGCAAAAACAAACAGAAAATAGGCGAGAACATAACAAAATACCATGTTTTGTTTTGTTTTTTAAAGAGTGGGTAACGACTATCTAGTAAAAAATATGATCCAAAAAGTATATAAGGATATTTTTGCAACACCAGTAGAAACTAAATTCAACTTTTCTGTACTCCTGCAGACTCCAAGTACCCAACAAAATGCATTTAATGGCTAAAACAATGGATTTTGTTCCTTTTAAAATCCAGTGCTTCATACACTCTTCAATGAATCTCCTGAAAGGATCTCAACGAAACCCTTGCTGGTTTCATAGACTTTATGACTCCTCTCACCTTCAGGTTAAATCATAACAGTAAAAGTAAATGCTCCCTTAATGAAACTCAACGGTGGTGGTCCATGTTGTCTCAATTTCATAGGCGATAGGTGGCCCAAGACTTACATGGGCATTGTTTGGACTAAAGAGGGTTCCCCATAAAAGTCAGAGCCATATAAAAGTCGTCACTCAGAGCAGCCCGAGGTTGAGGTGAGCTCCTTATCTGTAGCCCTGAGAAAATAAGCTCCGACATGAAAGGTGATGCCGTTTGGAAATGGCCGTGTCAAAATGAAAGAGCGGCGTGCTTTTCTAAATCAGCCCCTTCGCCTTCTCATTCCTGCCGTGATGTATGGCTTCGGTTCAGAAAAGAGGTGCTCTCTGCAACAGCTTCCTGACAATTACAGAGCGCTCTCTGACCAAACGGGCACGTTGAGGAGCTCGGAGCAGATGCTGCTGTTTTTGTTGTTCCCTCTGTTGCAGTAAACGTGCAGATTATCGCTCTCGCCAACTTCGTGGGTCAGATGGCTAAATGCTATTTAAAGTTGCGCTAATGTTGTGTTGAAAGTTTTGCCTTTTTATATTTACTGACAGTAAAATATAGATGCATGCATGTGACATGTTTATATTTTGATATAATCTGGTGAGTCTGGGTCTGCAGCGCATGCTTGTCACAGTGGTTCAGATTGCTTTCCAAGGATCTTCAAATGTCATGTAGGAGTGTAAGGACACATCGATCTATATTGATATATATATATATCGATTTGAATTGTTCATGATTCAGTTATATCAAGGCAAAATGAAAATACTGATCTATATCGTCATCATATGCTCGATGGGAATCAATATGATATGCCCATCTAACACAGTCATTGTGTTAGATGGGCATATGATATCACATTATATTGATCGCAGACATGTGAATTGAACTGAATTGAAATCATATCGTGACAGACTTTGTGATATTGAGAAATACTGAATCGTCATCCAAACATATCGATGTAATACCGTATCGTGATAAAGCTGGTGATTTACACCCCTAATGTCATGTCACTTTCCCAGCTGACAGTCTTTCGGGAAAGTGACCAAAATGCTTGTTTGAACGTTTTAGAGTGCCTATTACCTGCGTGTGTGTGTTTGTTTGTGTGAATTTTAAGTGTGCCCTTTGGAAAGAGGCTAATTAAAACTCAACATGGCTCCCAGATGCCTCTGAATCATCAACGTTCGATCCCACATATTTAAACGTTCACGCTTCACATACATATACATCACCTCTCACAGATGTTTTTCTTCCCATTTTCCTTTGCTGCCCCCCCCCCCCCACACACACACACACACACACAACACCTTTTCAAGCCACACAAAACGGTTGTAAACACAGGCTGTCAGCGGGGATATTGGAATGCCTCAGAGGCTTACACAGTCTTTGGTCCTCTGTGACAGGCAGTCCCCCCTTGTGTTTGACAGGTCCTTGGGTCCTGCTGCCTGGTTGCTCTGTGGTGGTCTCTGTGTGGTTTTGGCACTTTCCCATTAGAGGGTAAAGGGGGATGGTAGGTTACATGGAAGGGATGCTCGGGTCTGGGTTGACAGTTCCCAAGTTGGTGTTGGTGGGAAGGGGAGTTGACCTCTTCTGTGATAGAGGCTTTTGGACTTACTTTCTCGAAAGTGTTTCTTTGACAGTTCCACAAGTTTCAAGTGTTTTGCTTTAATTTTTCACTTCCAAATTCATTTTATCTCAGACTATTAGGTCAGAACTTGAATAAATCTCACAAACAGACTAGCCCAGTTATGTTTAAGATGGCCACCACAATTAGCTGACTTAAAAATGAAACGAAAACAATGACTATAACATAATTTTTTTCTAATACAGAGCAAATATTTTGTGTGTTAGTAGCTGAGAGTTTCTCAGCTCTACAGATTACATAAGATCTTTGTTTAAAACTTTGACAATAACTTTTAGAGTGACCCTCTGTCTGTTGCCTCAAAAGAACCACTTGAGAAAATTGAATGAAACCTTCAGAAAATAAAATATTGGAAGTACACCAACAAAATACCATTTTTTAAATCAGCTGATACAACATGGCTGCCCCAGCTAAATGACCATGTTAAACACAAAACATAACTATATTGCAGTCAAGGTTTACAGATGATGTGCTAAAATTTGGTATGTTTGTAGCATCTCTAGCTACTATGTGCTAAAATACTGAACAGAATTTCACACAATTGAACACATTATTTTGCGTGATGCTGATTTTTTTAATATTAGAACTGGATTGCTAAAACAAACAGTTTTTAAAGCAAACATTATATTAAAACCTAGCATTTAGGAAGTGCTAGGCTTCATTTTAGATGAGAAATTGCACATAGTTCTGATCAAAATTGTAAGAAAAGTTGAAAAAATGGCAAGAATTCACATTTTGCACTGTTGAATGGTTTAATTGGTTTCAATATGCAAAAAGAGGAAATGGGAGTGAGACAAAAAAATAAAAGTAAGCATTTTAATTGCAAACAAGTATTTAAAATGATATAATGTAGTAAAATGATACCTAAGTCTGTATTGCTTTTTAACTCCAATTGCATTTATAAAATGTGAAAATGAAAATGGTAATTGAACCAGTGGAGTAAAAAAATCCTAAACTGTTCAGAAACAGTTCAGACACTCACTTGAAGTGGTTTCCAAAAAAAAAAAAAAAAAATACAATGTGATATGAAAGGATTCAAATAGCTTTTGCAATTCTGTTCAATACAGAAAAAGATTAAAAAAAAGATTGAGAATCACTGGATCCTGCAGAGAGTAAATTTTTGACTGATCAGCAGTTTTTCAGTTATACCAGATACTTTTAAATGTCGAAAGTTATCCTTGAACACAAATACTGCTGCTTTCGTTTTGTTTATGTCCACCAGTTTTGTTGTTTTTGTTAACAAGGTTCCAATCTGGACAGTATTCCAGTTTTCCAGTATCAGCAAGTACAACCCAGCTTATCCAATCAAATTAAATCAGATACATATTTTGCATCTGAATAAAAAAGCAATGAGTTTAAAGACGATACATTTACAAATATATATCAATAAAATCATGATCTAGTGGTTGTAGAATAAACAGTCCTAAAATTTAAAATAAAACCCAAGAGCTTTAAAGGTATTTTTTCTGTTGGAGCTAAAATGTTAGAACCAAACATATTAATTATCAATCTCAAATAAAGTAAAGAAACTGCAGGAAAAATGAAAACACTGAGCGGTTCACAAATATCATCCTCTAACTTTTGTTCCAGACAGAGGTGCAGGACACACAGCTGAGCAGGAGAAGGGGGTTCCTGAAGTCAAGCCAATAATGAAGTTTGTTCATCTTGTTATCACAATTCTAGAGTTTCCTTATCGCAGTGCCACTGCTCGCCAGCGGCTGTGTGCCTGGATGGCGGGCTGCGTACCCAGACAGACGCCGTCTTGTCCTGCATTCTTTCAGCCAACAAGACCCTCTGAGATCTTAGTCACAGAGAAGGGGATTTGGTTACACACAAAGGGAAATGTGCCCATCGGGAATTGCTTATGAGAGCAGGGTTAGCGCTTCCTGGCAAAAGCTAAAATTGTCATTACAACTTCAGCCAAATCTAATGTAAGAATACATGAGCCAATTTTTTGTGTATGCTTGTGAAATTATGATGTTTTAACATTCTTTAGTGATACATTATATTGTTTTCTGCAGATATGCGTTATTAACCCTCAGAAGTCCTTAAATGGAAAAAAAATTATAATAATCAAAAAACAGCCACACTTTTATTTGCTCTTTCTTTATTCTCTTTTTCTTTTTTTACGATACAGTCAAGAAACATGATTTTTTTTTATTAAATGCATATTTTTTATTATTTTTTAAAAATTTGTCAGAATTCATTGAAACACCCACATTACCTCACAATAAGAAAAAAAATTGTGTAGGTCTTCTGGAC